ATAAAATTAAAATATTAGGTGTTTTAAATATTGAAAAACTTGTTAAAACTCATTCACATCAAAATTTTAATTTGAAATACAACTCTATCACAAAATAATACTTAATATGATACAATAAATAAAACTAAATATTCTAAAAAATTGATAGTAACAATTTCAAGTTAGTTTTATTTTGGTATTGATACAAATAATTATTAATCAAGTATATATTACAATGATCAACAAACTTGTTAAATAAATAAAAATATTTTTATAAATCTATTTTATTTATCAAGTGATTAATAATTAATCATAAGATTGATAAAAGAATAAAAGTTAGAAGACATTATTTTATTTCTATAAAAAAAAAGGGTCTCTTTGATTTTTTTTTTTTTAAATATGGGACCCGTTTAATTTTCTTTTCAAATTTCATGAGGGCGAGTGCTCCCCTTGCACCCCTGGCTCCCTCCGTGAGTATAACATAAGGAACTTAGGTGATGGTGCTCCAAAGCTTGATAAACTTGAATTTTTATTAATTATTAAAGGAACTAAAATGGTATATGTAATATTTTTTATGTTAAAAAATGGTATGTAATCTTTATCACACATCATCAATCTTATTATTATTTAAAAATATTATAATTACAATAACACATAATATTGTAAATGTATAACATATTATATTATTATATAATTGACTTATTTCATTTAAGAGTTTACTCATGATATTGTATATATTTATGTATTTAATATTATATTATATTTATTTAATATTATGATTATAAATTTATAATTTTATATGTTATTATAATTACAATATTACTGTTATTATTTAATTAATATGGGTCTAATTAATGGTTGGTGACTTGATGGAAGGATTGAAAAAACGATATATGAACTGAAGGGTTCGAGAGCCACATATTAAAAATATGTTGGACTTGAACATTTTCATGGCCTAAAAGTAGTGTGGATAAGTTGGGAGCTATATAGGCCCAGTAGAAAGGCGGGCAAGCTAATAGAAATGGGCTTACCCAAAGGTGAAATTCAATTTTTATTTTTATTTTTTATAAACAAAAATGAAATTCAATTTATCATTATGTGGTGGAGATTGTTTATTTGAGTTAGAATCTATTTATAAATAAATTTTATATATTATATTTATATAAAATTTTAATTATTTTTTAT